AATACTGCTGCTGTTCAGGACTAAAAAACAGGCTGAAGATTCCAATAACAGGCAGGCGAATAAAAGGACTGGCACTGATACATAGTAATACGGCTGACTTTAATAAAGCTGACACAAGACTTTACAGATAGTTTTAATGTTCAAATCTTGAAATTATAGGCTTTGTTTCAGTTGGTTAAATATGGGGGTCAAATCTACTTTTGAGTTTTAAAAAGTTTCAGTACACACAGACACACACAAACTGGAAAACATGCACCCAACTAAAAATTTATGCAGATTTCAAAATTTAAATGAATTTAGATTTTGAAATGCAAATGAGAAGTTAAATGAATCAGTGTAATTTAAATCACGTGGTAGAAGAGCTTGAAGTGTAAACTCAGCTCTTCCTCACTGACTTTGAAATCCCAGTGATTTTTGTAATGTCACTCTGTGCAATGTGTAAGAACAGCATTACGTGGCACTGCTGAAAGTAGGCGAGGTCAGATTAAATACCAAGATTACTACAATGAGGACCCTCTATTTTAAAGCCTCTGTTCATTAATTCTCTCAAACTGGACTAGCCACAACATTTCAGGAATACTAGCTATAAGTGCTGTACTCTGTTGGGCATATAAACACAAAGCAATTGCTTACTACAGCTTCTCCAAAACGTTTAAAGTTAATAATGCAACAATGAACTTGGAAAGTCCCCTCTGCCATCAATGTCCTTCCTGCTCAGTGTTTTAATTGTTGTTTTTTAATGTTTCTTAATGTATTTTCGCTTGGGTTTTAATTGTTTTAATTATGCGTTGGGGGTTGGGCTGCTTTTAATGGCTTTAAAATGTGGTTTCATTATGTACACTTTAACTTCTTAGCCGCCTCGGTAGCCCTTGTGAGAGCTGAAAGGAAATTTGTAAAGTATATAAAAATAAAACCTCGTATACGGCACTCAAGTCCCTGAAGAAAGTTTTGGCTCCGTCAAGCAAGGCCTCGTTTTCTGGACACACCACAATGTAAGCAACGTCCCGATGGCCCCCATATGGGTCCAACAGTAGCCTCTCCCAGAACGGCAAGGAGAATGGAGAGATTGTCAGGAAATCCTTGTCGTACCCAACCAGCAACGTGGGAATTGGAAGAGGCTCAGGAGATTCCTCTGAACCTGAAGCAAGAAAAGGGTGTTAGAAAACCAACTGTGAAGAGCTGGTAACATACTACAGATGGGAATTTTAATGATTTTTACGGAAGTGTGTGTGTGTGGGGGGGAGGGGGTGCTTGTTTGCAGAATCAAAACAATTGGGGGCCTCCAATGTCTTCTGTTGAGATGCTTTTTAAAATTGCAAATGTACCACACTTCCCTCCTACTCAAATTACAATGCTTTGGTGCTGGGAAAATGCAATTCTTCTTGCAGTGCTGAGTGTCATCATATGACCATAACTGGCACTTAATGAATTATGCCTGTAAGTGAATATGATGATGACGGTGGACACCATTCCCACATTGGCTACACATTCTGATCTTTTCCCAAATCTAGATGTGATGCTACCCTGCACTACAATGTGATAAAGCCGCTTTAAGATGTGAATAATATTCTTATTAGACAACATATTGTACCATAGGTTCCCCGTCCTGCCATTTTATGGAACTGCTGCCAGGTGAGGGGGCCTTGAACGTGCTGGATGTTCTCCCAGGTCCTGCCAGTCCGTTTCTTCTGGATGGCATCCTGTAGAAAAGGCTGGAGAGACAGGAGCATGCGTACTACATCCTGTGAGGATAACATGCTGATGTCTAGGACTGCAGGGGGGAAAAAAGAAGCTGTACTCAGATTGTGTGTGTGACATGTATCAGTATGGCTCAGTTCCCTTATCCACTTCTTTGTTACACATTCCACATTTTTTTAAACTCTGGCTTTAATGATGATACTCCATTTAGTAATTTCTCTTACGGAACATCCCCCATATTAAAGACATTGAATTTATTCAAATACTATTTTTTCCTTTAACCAGAACATCAGTCTTCATAAGATTACATTACTATTACTATTTTTTTTAATACTGCCTTCCTCCTTCCTACTGTGACCTCTGGGCAGCATATATACAGTTTCCTTTCTAAAGACCAATGTGTGAGGTAGGTTAGGATTGTGCCACCCAGCAAGTTCCGTGGCTTAGCATAAATTCTGCAATTGGATATGATAAATTCTACTTATTTGTGTTTATTAAAGTTTAACTCATTCAAGACATTAAAGTGAATGAGTGTTGGTAGAAACAGAAATTAAAGCAAAGTTGTAGGCCACAGACGCACTCTAGAGAAAAGTTTGTTGCAACCAATTCATATTTAAATTAGTTAATAGTGTTGAAGCTGTAAATTCAAACTATCGCAAAGAAGCTGAGGTGTACCTGATAGGCCATTTCACTCATTACATTTATAAAACATGTAACTTGGATACCTAATACATGAATGTGACAACACATCCTTGCAAACATTTGTATCATACAAGCACACTCAGCAGGGAACTGTGATTGACAAACCTCTGCTGTAGCTCCTGTACCAATTAGCTTTGAATTATTCTCTACAAGTTTGATATAAGAGCTTCCTGTTCTAACTGTGCCAAAGCTATACATAAGCCACAGTCCAGAGGTAGGTGTACCCTGCATCAGTGTACACAGCCCAGTAGAACTTGAAAGAGGGTTGGAAGTTACTTCAAAAACATGATTTTAATAGTGCACATAGGGTGCGAAAAAGGAATTGTGAGTAACCAAGTAATCCTTTGTGCAAATGATGACAGACTCCTGGGAACATACCATGATCGCACATTTCCAGTGATAT